CGCCCTTTGCTCATCCCTAACTCCATGTATAGAACTGTCATTTTGTGTGCGTTTTTTTCGTCGCCTTGCATGTCTTGTGATCCCCCCTTCCGTCACAGATCCCTTGAAGGAAACAAACTCAGTGGTTCGATTCCCACTCCAGTTGCGCCATATGCTCCTCTAAGGGATCTGTAAGATCCCATATCCACACAACAGTCTTTCTTCCTCCCTCGCTTCCACCAATTTTTCTGTTTGACGCTTCTCATCCCTAAGACCCCGGTGTTCTCATGCTAGACTAGATTTGTACCTGGCCATGACCGCCCAGTGCCCCTTCCGTATCTCCATTCGGCACTGTTGTTTCGTTTCTGCTAGTGGTCTTACCATGATGTTCTTACGCACCGCTCATTGTCGTAGGTGGCCCTACCAGACCAGAATCCTCTGAAAGAAATGCAAAGATGGCAAAAGGTAGGAGGGCTTTAAGATGGCTGACCTGAGTCGAGGTGAATTGCCTGCAGACATTCTCACAGGGTCAGCGAAGTGGTTCCATTGCACCCTCCAAACTTGTGTTTCCCATTAATCTGCTCCTCCATTTTAAGTGCGGACGGATGTCAGGCATAGTAACAGCTGAAATCTAACCACTGTTCTTTGATTTTATCTGCGCAGATTGTTATTCTTTTACAGTTCACAGCATTTCCTGACATTGCCAGTGCTCATTTCACATGCCCGTCTCATCTGTATTTTGCTCAATCTCCGTTTATATGTGATGCCTATCATCTCAGATACCTTGGTAACAATCAGCTCACAGGCTCAATTCCTGGAAAGCTCAACTTGCTTACAACTTTGCAGTTTATGTAAGTCCTTGGGTTCCCATACCTCTTTCCTTCCGTTCCGTGCTGTCACCTGCTATTACCTTCTTTACCCTTCCAAGCACCTTCGGCTCCTCCCTTCTCATTCCAATACCCGCTCACGGCTTCTTTTCTGAAAAGCTAGCACTGCGGATGTATCCATACATGCATGTGAATGTAATCAGGCAGTAAACGTTCGAATTTGCAGTCCTACTCGATTGATTCAACCGCTGCTGCTCGTCGAGCATCTTGTGCCCTGCACGTGGTGCCTCTCATTTCATGTGTACTTATATTCTGATATCCAAGGCACTTCAACCCAGTCTGCCACTTCACGACTATAATGAATAGTTTTCTCTTCTGCTTATATACAAACTCATGAGGGGCCTGCTTTGCTCACCCAGTCTGCTCACATAGTTTACCCTGTGCTCTTCTTGTAACGATCAGCTCATTCGATTTTTTCTCTCCCTTGCATTCTTCAAACCATCACAGTAACATCTCATCCAACCTGCTCACAGGCAGCATCCCTGCTGATTTCAGTGCCCTCGGGAACCTGTGGAAACTGTAAAAGAAAGCTCTTTCCTCCTCCTCCTCCTCCTCCTCCTCCTCCTCCTCCTCCTCCTCCTCCTCCTCCTCCTCCTCCTCCTCCTCCTCCTCCTCCTCCTCCTCCTCCTCCTCCTCCTCCTCCGCTTCATCTTCCTTTTCTCGTGTATACGCTCTTGTGTTCTCAGAGTATTGCCATCACTCCCTCTGCTCTCCTCTCCCGTCCTCTGCGCATGGTTCACATCTCAAGATTCCTGCTCACATTGGTCTTATTCCCACTTGCTTCGCCATAATTACTTCCTTCTCTCCTTCTTAGTCTATTCTTCTCGTCAGCTCTGCTCGCTTGCTACTGGCTCCCATTCATTCATTGTGACTAATATCACTGCGATCTTCCATCCCTTCTTTCCTTATTTGACAATCGCAGTGATATTAGTCAAAATCAAATCACTGGCTCGATCCCTGCTGAATTAAGCACTCTCAGAAACCTGGACGATCTGTAAGACTGCGTTGTCATAAGTCTGCATTACTGTGCCTGCTCGGTGAACATTGGATGGACTAAATAGCTGCTGCGCTCGACCACCATTCTCTTTTTCCTGTCCACCTGCTCTGCTCCTCTTTGTTGTTTGGTTGCCAGAATGGTAGACCCCGTGCCAGGGAGCCTTCTTTCCCTTCCTCCTCACACCTTCATCAGTCCACTCATCACGTCCCTTTGGCATCCCTTGCATTGCATTGTACTAGCTAGCAGTAGTTTTCTTAAGTCCGGTTCACATATAACTCGTTTTGTGACAGAGAGCATTTTGATGCAATAATTGCGTCGGTAGTTGTATCATGTGTAATGAGAAATTGTCCTTTTAGGGAGAAACATGTATCTGTGCGTTCACCTTCTCAAGTAGCTAAGCATCTGGCGGCAGTGTCCGCCAGTTGATAGCTCAAGTCTCAAGAAGCTTATTCATTTGCATTGCAGTGCACTTTTCACCTAATCAACTTTCCAACCCTTGCATATGTTTCCATTGCATGTCTTTCCATTCCTTTCCATTGCATGCCCTCCCATGGCATGAGTTTCCGTTGCATGACTTTCGAATGCGTGAATTTTCCTTCCTTGCACAACTCTCCAATGCATGCCTTTCCATGGCATGTCTTACCATTGCAGTATCCTCTCACACAACCAGCTTACGAACAGCATCCCTGCTGACTTTACCGCGCTCTTACTGCGGAGAGTGTGAGAAACAACAAACCAGTTAGGTTATATGCAGATCGTTCATTTATCGCTCTCTCTCCCCCACTCTCTCTCTCTCTCTCTCTCTCTCTCTCTCTCTCACACACACACACACACACACACAAACGTTCACACACACGCACGCACACACCGACACACACACACTCACTCACTCACTCACTCACTCACACACACTCACACACACTCACACTCACACACACACGCACACGCACACGCACTCGCACACACACACACACACACACACACTCTCTCTCTCTCTCTCTCTCTCTCTCTCTCTCTCTCTCTCTCTCTCTGCCTCCAATCGTGTTGCTTCTCTTTCACTCATTCCGTGTGCCTCTCTTGCCTTCACCTACCCAGGTACCTTGCGGGTAATCAGCTCACTGGCTCCTTTGATGCATTTACAGGCTATGGTTCTTACGTAAGGGAGATGTAAGTTCTCTTCTTCGCTCCAATCTCCTATTTCTCTCTCTCTGCTTTTCCTCCCTTGTTCCCAAGAGCACTTTGGCTGAGCATTCAAGATTGTACCTTTTACTCTGATTCTGTTCTTGTTTTCCTACTCCTTCATCCAAGTATTCTTGTTTCCCATCAACAGCTTCGCTTTCTGTGCCATCCCTTGCATGTTGTGTCCTGTTACAGGGATCTCTCATCTAACCTGCTCTCAGGCAGCATCCCTGCTAGCCTCAGTGATCTATATGGTCTGGAGATTTTGTGAGTTTGGATGAAGAGCTTATCCCTCTCTCCACTGCTCGTGTCCTTTCCTTGCCCCGGCTCAGCTTGAATGCTCCAAACCAGAGCTGCGGGCTTGAGTAAGTCCTGGATGGGCTCACATTTTGGCTGATAAGATTTACAGTGGCAGGGAAAGATTGTGCTGGTTCTGTGCCGGGTTTTTGTCACGTTGCTGTGTAGCTGTGTCGTCTTATCCACTAGCGAACACGGCAAAATTTAAAAGGAGCATTTGGAATGGGTATTCTGTAAGAATCATTTTGTTCCCTGCTTCGCTTCAACGTCCCATTCCGGTTGCATTGATCACTCTGTTTCTGCCTTGTGTTCCGTTCCGCCTGCCATTGCTCAATTCCCCATCTTAGCTTTCCCGACTGACATTTGCACTTTCCATTCTGTGCTATCCTTAGGACTTCTATTCTGTTTCATCCTATACCAGAGATCTTTCTTCCAACCAGTTTGATGGCAGCATCCCGGCCAGCATCAGTGAAATTAATGCTCTTACGACCTTGTGAGTTTTGGAAGGAGAGCATGGCAAGATTTGTTTGTGTTGTGGGCAGAGCTGTAATGTGAAACGCACCTGACATGTGAGAGATGCAAGTGGAATGTGGGCGCAAAAATGGAATGTGGGAGATAGATGCATCTGGACTCCGTCTGTTCTTACTCTTTTTCTATGCTGTCATGGCTAATGTTTCTGTATTATCGTGCACCCATATGTACTTTTGTTCCATGTATCTTAAATAATCCTTTCCTGCTTTCACGTCCCCTTTGTTGAGTTGTTGTTTCCAAACAGTCTGCTATGCGTGGTCCATTCTATTTCCTTCTGCTTCAAACTTCTCACTTGGTCTCTGTTATGACTTTGCAGCCGGAACGGTTATCAACATATCACTCTACCACCAACCGATGTACTTCGTTTGTCCCATCCTGTCTGCTGTCGTGTCATTTCTCATGCATGCTCTGTCAACACAGGTCTTTAAGCAACAACCAGTTCATTGACTCCATCCCGTCCACTATTGGCTCCCTTACAGAACTGTGTACCCTGTAAGTCCTGGTGTTGGGTAGATTGAACTCAGTTGGCCCAGATGGATTCTGATGACTCGGCTTAGCTTAGCTTCACTTCTTCAGCTCACCCTCATGCACTCAGTAAGCAAACCATGCTCTGCCTCAAAGCGATTCCGCCCAGATCATTCGGAAGCTCTTGAGCCAGTCTTGCTCAAACGATTGCTCGTGGTCGTCATTCCGGCCCACTTTAGACATAATATCTCCTCCTGGAGACATAAATCCCTCTCTTGATCCATCATTTCATTAGCTCATGTGTCTCCAAGTTCTTCTTCTGCTGCTGCTGCATCACCACTGCTGCAATCAGTGAAGCCATCCATACCACTGCGGCCAGAGCTGGGTTTCTAGTTATCACCAGAAATCTGCATGAGCACGCTACACACACTCACACACAAGCACGCACGCACCCCCCCCCCCCCAAACACACACACACACGCGCGCGCGTGCGCCCCCCCCCCCCCCCCCCCCCCCCCCCCCCGCACACACACACACACACACACGCAGGCACGCACGCACACACACACATCCCATTCTCATATACCGCTACCACCCTCCCCTGTACCCCTGCTGCCCGTAGGAAAATGGCCAGTAATCAGCTGTCAGGCTCCATTCCATCTGAAATGAGTTCCTTACAGAAGCTCACGTACCTGTAAGCCCTCGTGGAACGAACTCCCAGCTTTCTAGTCCTGTCTGCTGGCGTTCAAGTTGTTCTCCTCCCGCCCCGCTCTGTCAGTCACTCCTTTCTATGCAACCACTCCTTTATCATTCTTTGCCATTTCTACAATGTCACACAGTCCCCTGTAGACACTTGAGCTACACGCTCCTTGTCCATTATGTGGGCAACCAATCCCTGTCCATTATGCCTATTATACGTACTCTTCCTTGCCAGACCTTTCCTATGCTCTATCCTAATAGCCCTGCCTGTCACTCCTGTCTGTCTCTCCTCTTGTGTGTCTGCTCTCTGTGTGGCAGGGATCTGAGGCTCAACCAGCTGACAGGGTCCTTCCCAGACAGCCTCTCCGCGCTGACATCCCTCCAGGAGCTGTAAGGCGATCGAATTCTCATGCATCCAGAAACCCCATGTGCCCAGGAATGACATGGGGATGGGAGTGATTCTGAGGAGGCATGACATGCATGCACGGATGATGAGATGGCGCTGGGTAACTAAAAACTGCAACGGTTAGCCACAGCATATCAATAGTCCACGGGCACGCATACACATCAATGTACCATCGGCACAGAAAGGATGATGCACCATCAGCAACGGTGTATGCACTTTTGCGTTGATGGTAAGTCTGCAACATGGCTTCCATTCACTCTGGCTGTCATTCACCCTGGCTTTTCCCCATGCCTGTCATTCCCCATGCCTGTCATTCCCCATGCCTGTCATTCCCCATGCCTGTCATTCCCCATGCCTGAGATTCCCCGTACCTGTCATTTCCCATGCCTGTCATTCCCCATGCCTGTCATGCTGTCTGTGCAGGTGGCTTGACGGCAACAAGCTCACTCAAACACTTCCATCTGCAATTGGCAACCTTGTCGAAATCAGAAATTTGTGAGTGGCGATTGTTAGCTGTGTATGGCAAGCATATGAGATAGTGATGATAACCGGATATGACCTGATCCTTGTTGTAGGTATGAGAACTGCACCAGTCGCATTCTGGTTAGAGCCGGTTCGGTTCACCGCTCAACCAGCAGCAACAAGAGGTTATTTCTGGCCTCCCAATTGGATTCTAACTAGCACTTGTTTGGCTGAACCTCTGGTTCTGCCAGTTTGTCTTTTAAGGTTCCGACCTGTGCCCTGTTGCACAGAACTGGTTCGACACTACTCCTGGACCCGAGCCATGCCAGTGGTATAATATAATGTGCTGGCTGCAGCTGGGAGAGAGGCAAACCATGCTGTGGCCCACGATGGACAGGGTCAGGACTCAGCACTGTGTGCTTCATCGAGGTGCTCTGGAAGAAAGAGGGTGAGGGGTAGGAAGAAAGGGAGGCACGGTTATGTGGTATAGTGTCCCAACAGGCACCTACAAGGCAATTTATGCTGGCAGGCAGCTGGATGGTTGAACAGGAACTGTTCAAGGCTGTTCGCTCTTACACCGGAACTGAACTTGCATTCAAAGCACATATGTACCGTACTTTGTGTGGCCAACCTAACTTGAAAATTCCCTGAACGAGACTGTTTCAGTGTGATGCCATGCCCTGCCCGGTTAAACTCTGTTCAATCCTTGGGCACATTCCTGCCTAGCATATCCATACTTTAACTCATGAATGGTAATTGTAAGAAAATCATTACAATTTTTGCCATAGCTTCCCTAGCAGCCGCAACAGAACCTCCGTGTACACCATACCAACGTTTGTCAGCATGGTATCTTGCCTTGCCACTATGGGCACAGGCTCTTTCATCTTGAAAAGAAAGAACCTTTGCATTAGTCTTGAGCCTCCACTACACCATCCTTTCTCATTCTGGACTCCACTAGTACAGTGCTGTCTCCTTTTCTCTACTCTTCATTCTCTCCTCTTATCTGCTGTCTTTTCATCTTCTCTTTTCTCATCCGCTCCTCTCCTCTCCTTGTCTCCCCCCTTCCATGTGTGCATGCACGTGTGCTTGTCAAATCCCATGCCTTCACCATGCCTTCACTATGTCTTCACCACCATGCTTTCACTATGCCTTTACCTTGATGGCTTGCAGATCTCTGGCCAACAACAACTTGTTTGGACGCATACCAGACGCAGTCACGCTGCTCACAAAGCTCAAGACTTTGTAAGACATGCTTGCTTGTGTACATACTTACGCCCGCATGCCCTCACATGCATGATGTTCTTTCAGGTGAATGCACTCATCTAGTAAAAACACACTTTTAAACAGCTGCTTCTTTACTCAATAATTGTCTACCTGCCTTACAGCATCCTGTCAACTCTTGCATGCATCATCCTCACCTACTCATATCAATTCACCATAACACCCCTGTTCTTGTTCTACAAAATGTATCGGTGAACGTTATGGCACAACGGGAAGATGAACTACCGTCTTCACCCCCGGCCTCCCACCTGCACACCATCTTCACTTGCTCGATTGTAACAACAACCACACATGGTATCTGTCTCAACCTCACCTTGTCGCCTTTTAATGCTTTGAAATGACTAATGTGCTATCTCCCACTGTCTTTTGGCCCTGTATTCCTGCTTTTGCTCCACCCCCACAGCGACCTCTCTCACAACTATCTCACAGGTGGCCTTGTGAAGCCTGCTAACGTGCTGGCTGTGCTTTCATACAACTACCTCTCGGGCACTCTGCCTGGACAGCCGTCAGACTTGCTTGATTCCAACTGCTTCAAACTGGCTCCAGGAGAAACTGAGCCGGTGCAACGCACGCAGTCAACATGCCGCGCGTTTTGCGGCATCTCAATGGGTTCTGCCGCTGGTGGTTGCAGCGGCCATGGGGTGTTGTGCTATCCCGACGGACCTAACTTGGTGCCTACCTGCGTTTGTGAAGCGGGGTTTTACACGTTTCGAAGAACGTATTGCCTTGCGGAAGGTAATTTCGGTCATGGGTCATGGCCAAGTGGAGAGAAGCCACGTGAATGTACTCTCAAACCGGGTCAATCAGGCATTATTTTTCATTTTACACTTCACACCACCCTACACTTTACACTCCCCAACCTTCAGCTTCGCACACCACCCTAACATCTCTCTTCCTCCCTTGTTTGCATCTCCCGACCCCTTTCAACTTGTTTACAGAATCGGTCCTTGCTGCCCCACTCGAAAAGGCTATTCTTCCACCGTCAACAGTGCTGATGGCAGGAGTGAAAGCAGAGGCCAAGGGAATGTTCACTTCTGATCCGGTGCCTCTCTTTGTGTACGAGAATGGGCGAGAGGATCCGGGCTGTGGGTTTGAGCTGGCCTTCAGTGTCAACTTCACCTTCGCCCTCTCGCCCAAAGCCAAGGCCGCTTCAAACGGCTTTGCCTTTGTTGTGTCGGCAACCAAGACTGTGGGGAGCAGTGTTGGAGTGGGGTTCAGTGGGATGGACAACCGCAGCATGGCGATTGAGTTTGACGTGTTTCAAAACAAGCCACATGGCGACATGAAAGACCAGCACGTGGGGCTGAATATCAATGGCCAGGAGAAATCAATCGCGGCTGTGAAGTCCCCATTCCCACTGGCCAACAAGAAGCCGTACACGGCATGGGTGGACTATGTTCCTGGAGACCCTGGCACCATCCGGGTGTTCCTTGCAACAACAGCAGTGAAGCCAGCAAAGCCGCTGCTAGACAGGCGGCTGTCACTGTGTGCGGTGCTGCAGCCGGGGCCACCGCAGGGGGAAGGAATGGTGGAGCTGCCGCGGGCGTTCTACTTTGGCTTTGTGGCGTCCACCACATTAAAGCCGTTCATGATTCAAACCATCCTTACCTCTGCCCTGCGCACAGGTGAGCAGCCCTCCTCACCTCTGCCCTGCTCACAGGTGAGCAGCCAGCCGGTAGCGCCCTCCCTCCTCTGACTGTGCAGAGAGATTCTCCCCATGCATGTAGTGTATCATCAGCTCTGCCCTGCGCAAAGCACAGGTGGGGAAGCTAGCCATTTCTTTGGATCCAGTGGATGTCTTAGCTGGCTGTACACATACATTACTAGTGTGTTGCTTCTCTAGATTTAAACCATCGACTTCTGCTTTCTCTTCCTTTCCTTCTCTCCTGCTCCCTTTTGGCAGATGCTCCTCCTGCACGAGAGCCAGTCACCATTTCTCCAGGCAAGTCATTGCACGCTAATGACATCGACACAATTTAGCGAATGATGATGGATTTGCACTGGAACACGTCACTGCACGCCCATTGTTAACACACAGATTAGCAAATGATACCTGATCTGCACCTGAAATCTTCACTCTACCAATCACAAAAAAAACATCCGTGCTAGACGCTTCCTTCCTAGTAGACATGCAGAAATGCTGACCTACTGCCACTTCATGCTCTCCCCTCCCTCATCTGCCCTCACTCTGCTCCTACCGCCCATTCTACCACTACAGCCTACGGTTTAGATGTATCACTGAACACGTACGTACCTGCACGGGCGAGCCCCTTCCCGCGCTATGTGAGTGCAGACTACCGAGTGTCGGCCGGGCAGAAGGACTCGTGGGTCTTCAGGGACCTCCACTCCTGGGACTCTGTGCCCTTCCTGGGCTGGCCTGTCAAGGACCAGAAAGATTGCAGTGAGTGCCAACCCAACATGGGGGGGGAGGGGGGAGTATTTGGTGTAGGCGTGAACTGTTGTGAGAAGCGCTCCGTGATTGTTTTTTTTTGTGTGTTTGTTTGTTTGTTTGTTTTAATTTTCAAAAATATACTGTGGAGTTTCTGGACTAAAGTGGCATGCCATTTCCGACTCATTTCCTGACTTTCAACATATTTCCTGTATTCGTTCTTGTTTACCAGCACTGTAGCCACCATAAAGGCTCCTTCTTGCCGTTCTTTCTGTGCTCCGTCCATGCATCTCCTTCAGATGCATGCTGGGCATACGCAGTGGTGTCGAGCATAGAAGCAGCATACGGCATTGCAATGAATCAAGAGGCCCCAGTGATCTCAGTGGACTCGCTCTTCACAGCCATGAATCTCACCACCCAGGCAGCCAAGTGCACTGCTGGAGGCTCCCCAACTGAAGCATTCGAGAAGCTGATGGCGCTGCCTAAAGGGGCCATCACCATGGAAGGAAATAAGGTATGGAAGGCAACAAGATGTGGAAGGCAATAAGGTATGGAAGGCAACAAGATGTGGAAGGCAATAAGGTATGGAAGGCAACAAGATGTGGAAGGCAATAAGGTATGGAAGGCAACAAGATGTGGAAGGCAATAAGGGGTGGTGTGGAAGGGACTAAGGTATGGAAGGCAACCAGGTACTGAAGCCTTTGAGGGATGTTTAAGGTGCTGCCCAAGGGGGCCATTACCATGGAGAGCAAAGAGGTAAGGTATGTCACTGTGGGATAGATATTTTTTCCCATCCAGATAGGTTCTGGTTGAGTGGCTAAAGGTTTGAATGAAATGTTTCGTTTGAACGAAGAGTAGGAGCTGAAAGTGGTTTCTTAAGCCTCTGAGAGGATCCTCCTGGCTCAGCTCTTTCACAAATGGGTGGGTGAATATGAAAAGCAATTGTATGGGTATGTCAGTGGCAAATCTGGTGTGTTAAGCGAGGATGGTGTTTAGCTGTCCGGATCAGGTTGGCGCTTAAACTGAATCATGTTGGCACCAAACTCGTTCGACTTGAACCAAATGGGAGCAACGAGGCCGTGGTTCTAATATAGTGCTCTTCAAGAATTAGTACTGTATGATCCAGGTGTATTCACTATGTTAATTACATGCGATATTGCTGGAGTTTTGGTTCCGAGAATCTGTGGAAATACGCCTTGGGATTTGTCAAAACGATTTGTCGGCATCAAGCCACTTACCTTCTTTTGCCCTTTCATCTGACATTCTCCTCCCTTCCCAACCCTGAAAATTTCTTCTTATTCCAGAAAATCATATACCCTGTCCAGGGCTTTGAGCGCACTTCCTTCAAGGGGTATGTGGGGCTCATGCTGGCAGTGCAGCGGCAGCCAGTGGTGGTTCACGTTGAAGCACTGGCTGCTTCGTTCGCCAAATACGATGGAGTGAGTGCTGCCTCGGCAGAATAACGTCCAGTTTCTACTGTGTGTGTGGTATGGCAAGTTCTGTGTGAGCTCGTAGTATGTGGTTCTGACCTTACGTCTAATCACTCTGTTCTGGTATGTGTACTAAGTATATTGTCTCAACGTGCAAGTGTGTGTGTGTGTGTGTGTGTGTGTGTGTGTGTGTGTGTGTGTCTGTATGTGTGTGCGTGCGTGCGTGCGCGCGTGTCGTGCGTGCATGCATGATTTGATCATTTTCTTTCGTCATGATTGTACACCTCATACATGCATGATTTTGTCCATGATGCTTTTTCATTTTCCCTGTGTCTTCAGACATTCAAGTACCAGGACCCTGGCTGCTATACCGGCAACCTTAATCACGTTGTACTCGTTATTGGATATCTCGTGTTGAGGAATGATGGGAGCGAGAACCGCATTGCACCGCCTTTTTGGATCATCCGCAACTCGTGGGGCGAGGCATGGGGAGACAGGGGCCACATGCGCATGGACATGCAGGGAGGGGATGGCGTGTGTGGCATAAATGTGCTGCCTGGCATCTACCCCATTGTCAAGAGTGAGGCATCTACCCTATTGCTGTTATCTGAGGCCTGTGCTTCATAGTCAGTAGCAACTTACTATTCAAATCATCATATGGAAAGACAGCTATCTGTCTTTTCTCCGCCTCTGGCGATATGACTGCTATTTTTTCGCTTGGTTCTTTTCATCAATCATCGCTTAATGCAAACCTTCCCTAATCTCCCTATCCCACGTTTTTGTCTGCTTTTGTGCGATGCAGTTCCAGGGGACCCGTGTGGCTTGAAGAGTTACAAGGGCGATGGAGACCTGCAGCCCAGCATGAACCCGTGCGGTCGCTTCACCTGCACGCCCTTACCCAAGACCAACAACAACACCTGCACCTGCACTCTTCCCACCCCCCAGACCAAGCAGCCCTTTATTGAGGGTGCAAACGGCTATGGAAACACCTGTGTCTATGGTGAGACATGCCTCAGATAACTTATAATTTGTTTTGAGGCGCCTCAAAACTAGCACCTGTGTCTATGGTGAGACACGCGTCAGATAACTTATAATTAGTTTTGAGGCGCCTCAAAACTAGCACCTGTGTCTATGGTGAGACACGCGTCAGATAACTTATAATTAGCTTTGAGGCGCCTCAAAACGGGCACCTGTGTCTATGGTGAGACACGCCTTAGATAACATATGTTTTCTGTATGCCAGGTATTTTCTGTGCTGTTTTCCGTACACCTGTGTTTATGTGTGGAAGACATGTCTTCTTGGGCAACCTAAGTGAACGTAAGACCAACTGAGATTGAGAGTCACGGTTCTAGAGGACATGCGGACATGACAGGGAAGAATTCACGCCCACTCCACTTGTTTCCACTCCTTTTACACCGAAAAGACTCTCTGCCTCCCTCCATCCCCTTCCACCTTTCTCCCTTCCTGTCTCTCCTCCGCCTTTGTCAGTGGACGTGTGTGGGTCATACTTCAAGAACCCTTGTGCCGTGGGCACATGCATCAACGATGGCAAGGGCGCCTATTCCTGCATCTGCCCTCTCAACTACGTCCCCAGCACAACCATTGACAACTTCCCCACCTGCGACCCAGGTGCTGCTGCACCTCAACAGCTATAGCCCTCTCTTGCCTTTCCTTGTATTGAATTATCACTATTCCACTAGTTCAGCTAGAAGTCGCCTGAAATCACACCCTGCCCTTTCACCCTGATTCTCTCACTGTCATTCGTGCTTCTTCACACTCATCCACTTTGCCTCCTGGTTCTTCAACAAATGTTGCCCAATCTCCTCCACTCTCCCTCCTTCACTCCACCCTCCATCTTCCAGCTAACACCACCGCGGTCAACATGGTTGTGAAAGGTGACAACTGGTGGTGCTCTGACATCTACCCTCTCGTGGGCCTCACGCTATCGCAGTTCACATCGCAAAACCCAGTAAGGAGAGAGAAATCAAACCCGGGGGAGATCATGGCATGCATGACAAGGGCACGGGTGAAAGGAAAGGATAAGGGTAGGGGATACTGGCTTGCTGGCTGACATGCTTCTACGGTACACAAACATGGAAAGTGAGGTGCAGGCATATGGTTAACTGGCTTGGTGGAAGGGTGCGAGGTGGTGGGGTTAATTGCTGGAAGGTTGCGAGGTGCTGGGAGAGACGCGAGGTTGCAACCGCCTTGCAAACTCCATGCGTGCGCTTCTTGCTGCCCGTTCATATGTGTGTGTACCTCTGGATACCCCCCCAATGTATGTGCTTCTTAATACAGTCACTTGTGTGCACGAATTTTGAGGCGCCTCAAAAATCTTCTTGCTGCCCGTTCATTTGTGCGCTTCCAAATGCAGTCTGTCGTGTGCACCAAGGCCTTGCCTTACGGAAGAACGCTTCGGATTCTGAGTCGACAATAAAACGTGCCTCTGGATGCCCCCGCCTGCCCCTATGTCTGTCTGTGCTTCTTATTGCAGTCTGTTTTGTGCACTAAGGCCTTGCCTAAAGGAAGAACGCTTCGGATTGTCAATACTCCTGCCGTCCCCTGCACTGCATACTTCTACACTCTCAGCGTGAGTGCTGGCTGGAGTGGAGCCCTTTTCATGTCCTGTTTATGTTATTCTGGTGCAAGGACTCATCTTATTACTCGGTTCTGGTGCATCATCCTTCATTATCACTTATCATGTTTCATCCCTTCTCTGCTCCCTTCTCATCCTCCAGGGAGACACTTGTCTTTCCATCGCCAAATCTCTTCGCACCACCGTGAATGATCTCCTGAATATCAACCCCGGCCTTGAATGCACGCAAACCATCAAGGCTGGCTGTTCTATCTGTGTGGAACGCAATGAAACCTATGCCTACAGCGTCCCTGAGTGTGTGAAATACACCATTCTCACAGCAGACGACACGTGCGAGAAAATGCTGCAGGGGCAGGGATTGCAGAACGATCCGTCTGTCTGGGCTGAGCTCTACCGCAACAATCCCGGCCTTCTCTGCTCCAACGTCGTCCCTTCCTCTGCCTCGGCCGTTGGCAGCAATGCTGGCGTGCAGGTAAGGAGTGGAAGGTGGAAGTGGGATAGTAACAGGATAGGAACAGGAGGGGGGGGGGGGGGGGGGGGTGTGGTAGATTGAGAGAATGAGGAGCGCCATGAGGTTTTCTGTCTCTTGGTTCACTTGTGATGGAACCTCACAGTGCTGCTCACATGGTTCACTTATGCTATGTTATTTTAAGCATGCATGATGCATGCATGACGTATGTATGATGTATTCATCCGTCTACTACCTTCCCTTGTTGCACCCATCCCCCTCGGCCCTCTGCCCTCTGCCCTTCCTGCACTCCCAGGTGTGCCTCAAAGCTGAGTATTGGCCGTTTGAACTCGGTAAATGCAATAAGGGCCGGCCCAAGAATGTGACCCCATCGCTTTCCTGTTCTGCTGCCTACAGCTACTATGGCGGCACTAAGGCCCAAGCAGCTGCGGATTTCAATACCTACAATGGCAATGCCTGTGCTAAGAATGTTGGGGCAAAATTCATATGCGTGCCACGCTAGATAAATGTGTTACTTTCCATCTCAATGGACACCCATTTCATGCTAGGAAGGGGGTGAGATCAGGGTCTACAGTCGGAGTCACTCCACTGTGCCTCCCGCTGTCTTCTAATGCCTTGTCTGGTTGTCATTGCGGCTGTATGTTGAGTCCTGTCCTGTTTGTTGTAGTAAGTATTCATGTATGTTCTGGCGCTGGACCATTCTTCATGTTGGTCTGAGTGGAAGCTTCTTTTTGTATTATATATTAAGTAAAATATTACTATTAATGCAGACTTTTAAGAATTTGTTATATGAAACGACCTGACTACTTACCTACTGTCATCGGCCACACAGGTAGAGCGCCCTGGAGAAGAGAGGCGAGGCGATCATTTTCTGCTCATGTAAACCAGAGAATCGGCCCTTCACACTCCAAAGCACCACTACACTCCTTACAAAATCATCTGGTCGCACATCAACAATGTTTCATTTACACAACGGTGTGCCTTCCTCCGCAGCATCCAGGGCTTTAACCAGCCCCTGTGTTGCTGCCACAATATTGGCCTGGTCAAAAATAGCAGACACCACAGCAACCCCTCCCAATGCTCCACACGCACTCCCCTCCCACATGTCTCTAAATTCACCTGAAGATTCACCTGCAGGTGCTGACCTATCTGAGTCACCTGCTCCAGAGGCAACAGCATTAGCCACTCCTTTCACCACATCTGAAATGTTCCCTCCTTTTATCCCCCCTATAGCCACAACCGGGAGCTTCGATACAAGACACACGTCCGCAAGCCCCTCCACGCCAATCGTTTTGTTATTCGCCTTGGTATTTGTCGGGAATACACCCCCGACCCCGATATAATCCGCCCCGTCCCGCCACGCCTTCTCCGCGTGCTCGCGGCTCTTACACGAGACACCGATGATTCTCGTTGGGCCGAGAATTTGCCTGACTGTAGCAGCATCCATGTCAGATTGTCCCACGTGAATGCCGTCTGCATCCACTGCCAGGGCCACGTCCACACGGTCGTTGATCACCAACGGGATGCCGTGCGCCCTCGCCACTGCCACTGCCTCTGCTGCTTGCTGTTGGGAGGGGGTGGGACGTGGGGTGGGATGGGGGGGTGGGGAGGGGAGGACGGGAGGGGGGACGAGAAGGGGGCAGATGGCACGTGGGGTAGGGGAAGGAGAGGGGGGCAAGTGGGCAGAGGAAAGGGAAGCCGGGAGGGCAAGGGAAAAGCAGTAAGAAGGCAAGCATGGGATGGGGGGTCCCTATCGAATTGCCCCACGTGAATGCCGTCTGCATCCACTGCCAGGGCCACGTCCACACGGTCTTTTATCACCAACGGGATGCCGTGCGCCCTCGCCTCCTGCACCGCCTCTGCCGCTTGCTGTTGGGAGGGGTTGGGTGGTGGGGTGGGATGGAGGGTGGGGAGGGGAAAGGATGGGGGGGGGGGTGGGGAGGGGGAAGGGGGCAACGGGGCACGTGGGGTAAGGGAAAGTTAAGTACGCAAGGATTTGTAAGCAAGGAGGAAAGGGGAGGGGAAAGGGCAAGGGAAAGGTAGTCAATAAGGACAAGGATGGGATGGGGGTTCCATATCGGGTTGCCCCACATGACTGGCATGTGCATCTACTTCTGGGACCATGTTGACATGGCATGCGTGGATACCCAGTATGGGGTGGTCCCGGGCACCATTCCATGATCCCCAGGATATAGAGAGAGCACGTGTCACATGAGACAGAAGGGAGGAGCTGGAGAGAGGGCGCATGGCATAGCATGACAACATGGCACGTGGCACATGGAACAACAGTGGCATCACCACTGTAGCACAGAATTTGTTGGGGACAACAGGGAGGTTATTTGTATCCCAGGTGCCCCTGATGCCCTTCTGTCCCCACTGTCCCTACCCTAGTAACCCCAGTGGCCTTAACGACCCCAGTGCCCCTAGTAACCCAAATGGCATGGAGTGTCCCTCATGTCAGAACTTGAGCTTAGAATCGATACTATAGTAGTGAGCTCAAAGCTCTTTAAGTACATCCGGAATGAGCAAGGTAGGGATGAGGAGGGAATCAGGAGGCAATCCTAGGGAATCAAGGGTAATCCCAAGGCAATCTCCAATTGGTGGGTTGGAGATTGCTTGGAGATTACATTTGGGTTTGGTTGGGATGTGGGTGTACACCCAAGCAAACACAAAGTGCAAACTACACTAAACTAGGATGTAAAAGTACAAGTACAAAATGTGAGATTGGGGCCTAACACCAACACCCCCCCTGAGGCGTCAATCGAACTCATGGCGGAGAAGGAGGAGCGCAGAGCCCCATGGCGCCAAGGAGACGATGGTGGGGAACCTTCCCAAGGGGCTTGGTGAACAGGTCAGCCAGGTTGCAGTCAGATGCCACGTATTCCACCTTCAGCTGCTCTTGTTGCACAAGGTGACGAATGAAGAAGTGCCGAAGTTCAATATGCTTGGTGCGGGTGTGATACACAGGGTCTTGAGAGATGTGGATGGTACTCTGGTTGTCACACCAGAGGGTGGGGGCTGACTGAGGGAAGCCAAGCTCCTGGAGTAGGAAGGTGAGCCAACGGGCCTCCTGAGCAGCCATGGTGCCTGCGTAGAGCTCCGCCTCACAGGAGGAGAGGGAGACTGCAGACGACCTGGTGGAGCGCCAACTGACAGTTCCGCTCCCGAGGGTGAAGCAGTACCCCTGAGAGGAGCGGCGGTCGGTCTGGTCATCAGCCCAGGAGGAGTCTGTGTAACCTTCCAGGCGAGGAGGGGAGAGCCCACCGAGTGTGAGAACGTGGGACTTTGTGCCCTTAAGATAGCGCAGCACCCGCTTTGCTGCCTTCCAATGAAGATTAGTGAAGCGACCCGGGGCCACGTAACGAGAGAGAACACTGACTGGGTAGGCCAAGTCCGGTCGGGTGCACATCATGGCGTACATGAGGGACCCAACAAGTTCCGGGTATGGCTCAGAGCAGGCCTCTGGTGTGGGTACACCAGGAGCTGTAAGGAGGTGTTGCAGCGGCAGCGGGGTGGCAACAGGTGTGCACAGCTCCATCTCAAACCGCTTGAGCACATTGTCGATGTAGAACTCCTGGGAGAGTGAGATGGCGCGAGCCTTGCGATCACGAGTGATCTCCATTCCCAGGTAGTGCTTGAGGTCACCGAGGTCTTTCATCTGGAGGGCCTTGCTCAGGGCTGCCTGGACTGAGGTCATTTGGGCCGAGTCCTTGGCAACGAGGATAAAATCATCCACGTAGACTAGGATGTAGAATGGCTCAGAATGACGACGGATGAAGAGAGTCGGGTCAGCAGTGGAGGGGTGGAAGTCCAGGGAGAGGAGGACTTCTTTCACCTTGTTGTGCCATTCGCGAGGGGCTTGTTTAAGGCCGTAGACGTAGACGGGGCGATTCAGCTTCCAGACAGTGTTGGGAGGGAATTCTCTTGGGAAGCCTTCTGGTCTGTCCATGAACACTGTCTCCTTGAGACGTCCTTGTAGGAAGGCGGAGGAGGCATCCATGGATTTGATCTCAAAGTCTTCTCGAGCTGCAACATCCATGAGCGTTCGAATGGTGGGAGGTTTGGATGTGGGGGAGAAGATTAGGTCGAAGTCGCGGTACCGCTGCTGGGTGAAGCCCTTGGCTACGTAACGCGCTTTGAACACCGGTGCCTCGTCTGGGAGCAGTTTTACACGGAACAACCACTTGCCCCCGACGATGTTGACTCCTGGAGGTGGAGTCTCGTCGTCGAAGGAGTGGTTGCGAGTGAATGCTGCAATCTCCGCGTCCATGGCAGCACGCCATTCGGCAGCATGAAGGCCTGAGAGAGCCTCTTGGATGGTGAGAGGGATAGGGATGGTCGGGTTCTCCGCGAGGTTGAGGGAGGGTGAGCCAGTGATATCGGGGAAGATGTGTGAGAGCTGAGGAATGACTGCATGGAGATCACACAGCTCCTCATGCCTGTCTTCTAGAAGGGTAGAGGGCACATCCCCCCTAGCAGGAGGAGGCGGTGTGATCGTTGTGTATCGAAGAACCATTGCGAGTGGAAGAGCAGCGCGATGGGAGCGGGTGCCATGAGCCACCGGTGAGGAGGGTGGGGCAGGCGGTGTCGGAGAGGGTGACTTAGGAGGCTTGGGTGGGGGAATGGGCCGCCGGCGGTACGTGATCAGCTCGGGCGACAGTGGGAGAGCGGGTTCCTCTGTGGTGGGGGGAACTGGGGGAGGAGGTGGGGCCGGAGGGTGGGACCGCCGATGGTAGGTGATAGGTGCGCTCGGAGGGGGCGGTGCAGCGGGAAGTGAGGAAGGTGAGGGGGGGGGGCGGAGCAGCTGCCGAAGACACCGGTGAGGCCGGGTCAGAGACCTCAGAGGGAGATGGTGGGATGGCAGGAGAGAGAGGAGGTGAGGGGGCAGGAGCAGGCGGGAGGTCGGGAGGCGCGTCAAAGTCTGCCCACACGAGGGAGGGTGGATCAGGGAGAGGGTCCCGTCCTGAAGGGGAGTAGAATGGGCGGGTCTCATCAAAGACAACGTCGCGGCTCCTGACCAACTGTTGAGTGGAGGGATTGAGGAAGAGGTAGTCAGGTGAGTCGGCGTTGTGCCCAAGGTAGATGCACGTTTGAGTCTTGGGACCGAGCTTGCCACCGTTCTGGCGTCGAGCCTGAGGGTTGAGGAGGACATAGGTGGTGCATCCCCAAACGCGAAGAGAGCGAGCAGTGGGCGTTTTCCCGAGCCAGAGTGTGGTTAGGATGGTGTCGGGAAGGTGCGGATGGGGGTAAAGGTTGTAGAGGAGGGCGGCGTGGCAGAGAGCGTATCCCCAGAGAGAGTGTGGAGCGTTGGAGTGGCTGAGGAGGCACCGAGTGATCTGCACTAGGGTGTGGTTGCGGCTCTCAGCTATGCCGTTTTGTTGAGGGCTGTCAGGGAGGGTGAAGTTTTGCTGGATGCCTTCGGAGGAGCAGAAGGCTTTGAGCTTGTCGTTGCAAAATTCACCCCCCCCCATCCGAGTGAAGGCGCTTGACCTTGCGGTCAAAGGTGGTCTGTGCCTGCTTGACCCACGCCATGATGACCTCTGGAGCCTCAGCCTTAGTGTGGAGGAGGTGAACAGAGACGTATCGTGAGTGGTCATCCACGATAACTAGGAAGTAGCGATATCCACCTCCTGCAAGAACAGGGGCAGGACCCCAGACGTCCATGTGCACTAGGTCCAGTGGTGCCGCTGCGATTGTGGGTGAGGCAGTGTGGGGCTGTTGGCGCAGTTTGCTCTTGGTGCAATCAAGGCACGTGGGAGCGGGTGAGTCAGGTGGTGGAGGAAGTGTGGCTGGCAGGCCGAGAAGAAGTTTCTTGGAGGCCATGTCAGCAAGCGTGCGGAAGTTTGGGTGCCCTAACCGATGATGATAGAGGATGGTCGGGTTGGAGAGGCTGCGACATGTGCATGGTGTGATGGGAGCCTGTGCTTGGGTGGTTGAAACCTGTGGGAGAGGAACGCGTAGCGTGTAGAGGCCGCTGCTATTGAGGGTGAAGCGGGCCAAGACCTTGTTCGTGAGTGGGTCAATGATGTCGCAGTGGTCCTCATTCTCCGAGAAGATGGTGCGTAGCCCTGCTTTCTGAATTTCTGTTTGAGCCACTAGATTGTGGCGTAGTGAAGGCACGCACATGCCAGTGACGGTGCCGGAAGGGAAGGCTGGGCATGGGACTGTGGAGGTGCCCTTGGCTAGGGTGGTGAAGCTGGAGTCAGCTCCCAAGAGAGGGATAGGTGCTGGATAGGGTTTGAAGGAGAGTGTCTCCTTGAGCACAGTGTGAGTGGCCCCGCTGTCGAGTGTGAACTCTATGTACTGTGGTGCCTGTGATGAGTCGATGTACTGGGAAGTGGCTTCATTAATCATGGCAGTGCCAGGAAACAACAGGTTGATACGCACATCAACAGGAGCACTATCACTAGCACTAGCCGAAGAGGGGTCCTGGACCTCAACGAGATTGGCCTTACGAGCGCGCATCCAGTTTGGCGGCTTCTTGTCAACCCCGTGGATGGCATACCACTCGTCGTCTTTCTTCTTGAAGCACGTGGCAAGGGGGTGGTTAGTGCCACCACACACTTGTCCCTTGCGGTTGCCATACTTGACGACGTAGGTGCACGGAGGAAAGCGGTTGCGCTGGAAAGGCGCCGAGGCAAGGGCCGCTGCAACACTTGCTAGGGGCATGGGAGCACGGATGGCGTATGCCTTGGCCTGAGCCGTGGAGTCTTTCTCGGCAGAGAGGAGTGCGGTGGAGACCTTAGCAAAGGTGAGGTCTTCCGCTGAGAGCGTGAGGAGCATCTTCCTCGTGACTTCATATGCCGAGGAGAGACCAACAAGAAGGGCGGCTGCAGGGGCTTGTTCGGGGAAGACTATACCCAGCTCCTTGAGTTCACCATGAATGGTCTGCACCTTGGCGATGTAGTCAGCCATTCCTGAGCAGTCCTCAAGACGGACTTGAAACATGCTGGGGATGAGAATCGCCACTCCGACCGCCGTCTTGTTCATGAACCGATCCTGGAGATACTTCCAGATGGCGTTGGAGGTAGGGTAGTTGTGGAACGTGTTGACAAGTTCGGGAGGGGTGGAGGCAATGAAGACGCTGATGATGGCAGCATCGGCCTTCTCCCACTTCCGGTACTTCTCAACAGCTTCTTCGTACGTCATCACGTCAGCATCACTTGAAGATTCGGTCGGTTCACGGGGAAGAGTGGGCTGTTTCCCCTTGCCACGGTTAAGGAGGACGTCCTTGAGGTCAAGGCCCTGCACGTCACGGCTTAGGAGGTGCTTATCAACTCCGTAGCTCCACGCCTTGAAGTTGGAGCTAGAGCCATCGGCTTCAAGGCGGAGCGGGGTGATGGGGTTCGCCATGGTGGAAGACGAGAAAGCCATGGTGGAGACCCCTTAACTTCTCGCGCGGAGCGCCGCTCTTAAGTCACCGATAGGAACTTGAGGTTTGGGGTTTCCAAAGGAGATTTTGAAGAACCGGAGGTTTAGGGTTTACGAAAGAGAATATTGAGGTTTAGGGTTTCTGAAGGAGAATTTGACTGAGACGCCAATTTAGTGTCAACTACCTACTAATCCTATTCCCACACACCCCCCCACACACCACCCTCAGCTTCGCGGCTACGCTGCTGCTCGGCTTCGCGGCTACACGGCTGCTCGGCTTCGCGGCTACGCTGCTGCTCGGCTGCGTTGCTGCACCTGTTCAGCTGCGGGAAAGAGGGGGGATGGGGGTAGGAGTGCAGATGCGGGGCAACGGGCGGCAGCCCGAAGATGACGCTGCGGGGCGACGGGCGGCGGCCCGACGAGAAGCTGCAGGGCGACGGGCGGCAGCCCGAAGAGAAGCTGCAGGGCGACGAGCGGCGGCCCGACGAGAAGCTGCAGGGCGACGGGCGGCGGCCCGACGAGGAGAAGAAGTGACGAGAGTGACGAATTGATGAAAACGAGTGTTAGGTTAGAGCGCCGACGATGCGCTTACCAGAGAAGTTTCCGTCGATGGTGACGGGAAGATGTGGCGGGAGAAATTCCGCCGATGAATGTCGCGAATCAACGGCGACGAGATTGGCGATGGCTTCCCCGAGGTTTGCGGGACAAGTATCCGCAGAGATGAGAGGATCACGATCCGCGTATGCGGTTGAGCTGCTCTGATACCATGTCAGAACTTGAGCTTAGAATCGATACTATAGTAGTGAGCTCAAAGCTCTTTAAGTACATCCGGAATGAGCAAGGTAGGGATGAGGAGGGAATCAGGAGGCAATCCTAGGGAATCAAGGGTAATCCCAAGGCAATCTCCAATTGGTGGGTTGGAGATTGCTTGGAGATTACATTTGGGTTTGGTTGGGATGTGGGTGTACACCCAACCAAACACAAAGTGCAAACTACACTAAACTAGGATGTAAAAGTACAAGTACAAAATGTGAGATTGGGGCCTAACACCAACACCTCACACTACTCCTATCACCCACGTGGCCCCATTGTCCCTATTGCCTTTACTGGCCCCAGTGCCCAATGTGGAACCCGGTGCTCCTAGTCCCCTTAGTGTCCAAAGATGGGGGCACCCACCTGAATGAAGTCACCAGTTTCGATGTCCTTCTCCCTGCAAACACCACCACCGCAGACCAGACAACGAGGAGAGGAAAAACGCAGTTCATGACAGCGTAGCAGCCTGCCCATGTAGCATTGCACACCAGACTAATTTCACTACCACATCCGACTCTATAGACGAGCTTCAGCCAGGCTGGAGCACACTAGAGGCCCACCAGAAGAAGCCCAACCGGCCCAACTGTGGACAGGGTGGCTGGCGGCGGGTCAGGCCGGCCAGGCCATCATTCAGTGCGGGTCATGCCCTAAACTCAACTTGTGCTATCGAAAATCCGTTGCTGTCAACATCGCTCCTCCAGCAATGGCCTCCCGTATCGCATCCCCCACACTCCGCCCCCACGACCGGTTCATCCTTTAGTCCGTTACTACGTACAGCCGCCACTGCCCTGGATGGAAGGCTGCACAGCAGCTGCCTTCCAATAGGCGCACGCGCCATGTGGGTGTGCTTCGCGCACACGCAAAGAAGTAAAGTGCGTTGCTCGGGGCCCCTTAGCCCCACTACATCTGCACCTCCCACAGCGTGTGTGTTGCGCCCCATCCCATCATTTCACATTCCCCACTCACCGGATTTGCAGGAACGTGGCTCCACCAGCAATCGCCTCCCGTATCGCATCCCCCACGTTGCGCCCCCAAGCCTTGTTCATCCTAGAGTCAGTCACTGCATACAGCCGCAGCTGACCCGCGTGTGGAAATCTGCAAAGCAGCTTCCTTCCAATAGGCGGGCTGGGCATGCAATGAGTGTGTGCTTCTCGTACGCACTCACAACTGAGCTGTTCTAAGCCCCTTACCCTCACTGCATCTGCAATTCCCATCGCGTGTGCATTGCGCCCACCATGCCACCATGTCACATTCTCTACTCACCGTATCTGCAGGAACGTGGCTCCACCGGCAATGGCCTCGCGTATCGCAACCCCCACGCCCCGCCCCCACACCTTGTTCATCCTAGAGTCAGTCACTGCGTACAGCCGCAGCTGGGAAAGGGCGCACGTGCTATATGTGTGTGCTTCTTGCACACGCAAATAAGTAAAGTGCACTGATTGGGGCCCCTAACCCCCACTACATCTGCACCTCCCAGAGCGTGAGTGTTGCGGCCTATCCCATCATTTCACATTCACCAGTGGTGAATCACGACTCACCGGATCTGCAGGAAGGTTGCGCCACCAGCAATGGCCTCCCGTATCGCATCCCCCACGCTCCGCCCCCACGTTTTGTTCATCCTAGAGTCAGTCACTGCGTACAGCCGCAGCTGGGCTGGGTGGAAGGCTGCACGTGAATTTGGCAGGCCGAAGCGGCACACCAGGGGGAGGTGGTTGAGAGGGCCCTGCAGGCCGCTGCCCATGGTAATGGGGAGGCTCTTAGCGAGGATGTGGGAGAGGTAGGCCTTTGCGTCCTGGGTGGAAGGCGGGGGAAGGGGGGAGATGAGGGAGGAGAGGAGGGGAGAAGGGGGGAGCAAAGTGGAAGAGGGAAGGGAGGGTGTAAAAGCAGGGCAAAGGTGGAGAGGAGGGAAACTGGAGGGAGAGGGTGAAAACGGGGAGTTGGTCGAATAATTGATAAGTGTGGGGACAAGGAGGGGCAGAGGCGAGGGCGAGAGGGGGTGGGGAAAGGGGAAGTGTGCGCGAGAGAACCGGAGGGACGGGAAGAGGGCGGGGGGATAGGTGCGGCAAAGGATAGTGGTACAGAACTGAAGGGCAGGGCTCTGTGTCGAGATAAGTATATTGATAAAAAAAAAACAGACAGAATAAATGTATCAATTCAGGAGGGATGCATAGAAATATATGGTCAACACGAGGCAAACCCATCAACCTCCCCATCCCCCTCCCTCCCCATCCCCTCCCCATCCCCCTCTCCATCCCCTCCCCACATGCACACCAGCACTGCCTGCTTCACCCCTCTCCCTGCACTCCATACGATTCCACTCTCCACCCCTCTCCCTGCACTCCATACGATTCCACTCTCCACCCCTCTCCCTGCACTCACCACCACTGCCTGCTTCACCCCTCGCCCCTGCGCCAGCCCTGCAGCAACACTCGCTGCCATGCTGCACCCAGTGCCGTGCGTGTTGGTCGTGGCAAGGCGAGGCGACGACAACTCGTGGAAGGCCGATCCTGCCAACAAAGAGAGGGGTTTGGTGCGCGGAAAGGGGGGGGGAGAGGGGGGGGGGGAGGGGGAGGGAAGAGGGGGGAGGTGGGGGAAGAGGGGGGGGGTGGGGGGAGAGGGAGGGGAGGGGGGGGGAGGGGGGGGGGGGAGGGAAGGGGTCGGGTGGGAGGTGGGGGTGGAAGTGGAGGCAAGAGGGGAGAGAAGATGAAGCAACCGGTGTCGCACGTGTTGGTCGTGGTAGGGGAGGGGGGGGGGGCGGGGAAGATAGCTCATGGAAGGGCAATCCTGCTAAGTGAGGGGTTGGGGGATGGGGGTGGAGAAGGGGGGGATGAAGGGCAAGGGGCAGAAGAGGGTGGGTTGAAGAAGAGTGGGGACGACAAGTTGAAGCACCTGACAAGTTAATCCCGGGGTCTAAAGGAGAAGGGAGGGGAGGACACGGAACGGAAGGCGAGTTGTATCACAAAAACAAGAATTGGCTTGGCTGGTAAAGTAGAGCTGGGGGGGCACGAGGGGGCACGAAGGACGAAGAGAAGGAAGTTCAGGGAGAGGAAAGGAGAGGTGAGGGACGGGGAGTGAGGGAAGGTTAGCTTAGCACATGGTTCTTACGACGGCTCAAGGATCATCTGGGCTATGGTGTGCAAACAGGACAGTTTAGGGAACCAGGGATGGGAGTGAGGTGGATTAGTGGAGAGGATAGGAGGAAAGAGGAGAGTGAGAGGCAGGGAGTGTGTGTGAGAACTTAGGCTTAGAAGCGATGAATTAGTAAAGAGCTTGAAGCTCTTTAAGTACATCCAAGAAGAGGAGGGAATGGATGGGGAAGGGATTACATTTGGGTTTGGTTGGGATATAGGTGTACACCCAACTAAACACAATGTGCAAACTACACTACTCTAAGATATAGAAAATACAAAGTACAACGTGTGAGATTGAAGGCTAACACTAACACCCCCCCATAGGCGTCAATCGAACTCAGGGTAGAGAGGGTGGAGCACAGAGTCCCATCGCGCCAAGGAGACGGTGGTGGGGAACTTTCCCAAGGGGCTTGGTGAACATATCAGCCAGGTTGCAGTCAGATGCAACGTATTCCACTTTTAGCTGCTCCTGTTGGACAAGGACCCAACAAGCTCCGGGTATGGCTCAGAGCAGGCCTCTGGTGTGGGTACAGCTGGAGCTGTGAGGAGGTGTTGCAGCGGCAGCGGGGTGGCAACAGGTGTGCAGAGCTCCATCTCAAACCGCTTGAGCACATTGCCGATGTAGAACTCCTGGGAGAGTGAAATGGTGCGAGCCTGACGATCACGAGTGATCTCCATCCCCAGGTAGTGCTTGAGGTCACCGAGGTCTTTCATCTAGAGGGCCTTGCTCAGGGCTACCTGAACAGAGGTCATCTGCGATTCTGCGCTGAGTCCTTGGCAACGAGGATGAAATCATCCACATAGACCAGGATGTAGAATGGTATAGAATGACGGCGGATGAAGAGAGTCGGGTCTGTGGATGAAGAGAGTCGGGTCAGCAGTTGAAGGGTGGAAGTCCAGAGAGAGGAGGACTTCTTTCACCTTGTTGTGCCATTCGCGAGGGGCTTGCTTAAGGCCGTAGACGGGGCGATTCAGCTTCTAAACAGTGTTGGGAGGGAATTCTCCTGGGAAGCCTTCTGGTCTGTCCATGAACACTGTCTCGTTAAGACGTCCTTATAAGAAGGCGGATGAGGCATCCATGGACTTGATCTCAAAGTCTTCTCGAGCTGCGACATCCAAGAGCGTACGAATGGTGGGAGGTTTGGATGTGGGGGAGAAGGTTAGGAAGAAGTCGCGGTACTGCTGCTGGGTGAAGCCCTTGGCTACGTAACGCGCTTTGAACACCGGGGCCTCGTCTGGGAGCTGTTTTACACGGAACAACCACTTGCCCCCGACGATGTTGACTCCTAGAGGTGGAGTCTCGTCGTCGGAGTGGTTGCGGGTGTGAATGCTGCAATCTCCGCTTCCATGGCAGCACGCCATTCGGCAGCATGAAGGCCTGAGAGAGCCTCTTGAACAATGAGAGGGATAGGGATGGTCGGGTTCTCCGCGAAGTTGAGGGAGGGTGAGTCAGTGATGTCGGGGAAGATGTGCGAGAGCTGAGGAATGACTGCATGAAGATCATACAGCTCCTCATGCCTGTCTTCCAGAAGGGTAGAGGGCACATCCCCCCCAGCAGTAGGAGGCGGTGTGATCGCCGTGTATCAAAGAACCAGCGCGAGTGGAAGAGCAGCGCCATGCAAACGAGTGCCATGAGCCACCGGAGAAGAGGGTGGGGCAGGCGGTGTCGGAGGGGTTGACTCAGGAGGCTTGGGCAGGGGAATGGGCCGCCGGTGATACGTGATCAGCTCGGGCGACTGTGGGAGAGCGGGTTCCTCTGTGCTGGGGGGAACCGGGGGAGGAGGTGGGGCCGGAGGGTGGGACCGCCGATGGTAGGTGATAGGTGCGCTCAGAGGTGGCTGCACAGTCGGGGGAGTGGGAAGTGAGGGGGATGGAGGAGCAGCTGCCGAAGACACCGGTGAAGGCGGGTCAGAGACCGCAGAGGGGGACGGTGCGGTGGCAGGAGGGGTAGGAGGTGAAGGGGCCGGAGCAGGCGGGAGGTCAGAAGACGCATCAAAGTCTGCCCACACGAGGGAGGGTGGATCAGGGAGAGGGTCCCGTCCCAAAGTGGAGTAGAATGGGCGGGTCTCATCAAAGACAACGTCGCGGCTCCGGACCAACTGTTGAGTGGAGGGATTGAGGAAGAGATAGTCAGGCGAGTCGGCGTTGTGCCCGAGGTAGATGCACGTCTGGGTCTTGGGACCGAGCTTGCCGCCGTGCTGCCGTCGAGCCTGAGGGTTGAGGAGGACATAGGCGGTGCACCCCCAAACGCGAAGAGAGCGAGCGGTGGGCGTTTTCCCGAGCCAGAGTGTGGTTGGAGTGGTGTCGGGAAGATGCGGGTGGGGGTGAAGGTTGTAGAGGAGGGCAGCGTGGTAGAGAGCGTACCCCCGGAGAGAATGCGGAGCATTGGAGTGGCTGAGGAGGCACCGAGCGATCTGCATTAGGGTGTGGTTGCGGCTCTCAGCTAAGCCGTTCTGCTGCGCGCTGTTAGGGAGGGTGAAGTTTTGCTGGATGCCTTCTGAGGAGCAGAAGGCTTTGAGCTTGTCGTTGCAAAACTCACCAACATCATCTGAGTGGAGGCGCTTGACTTTGCGGTCAAAGGCAGTCTGTGCCTGTTTAACCCACGCCATGAGGACCTCTGGAACCGCAGCCTTAGTGTGGAGGAGGTGAACAGAGACATAGCGAGAGTGGTCATCGACGACAACAAGGAAGTAGCGATAACCACCTCGTGCGGGAACAGGGGCAGGGCCCCAGACGTCCAGGTGTACCAGGTGCAGTGGTCCTGCTGTGACAGAGGGTGAGGCCGGGTGGGGCTATTGACGCAGTTTGCTCTTGGTGCAGTCAAGGCACGTGGGAGCGGGGGAGTCTAATGGTGGAGGAAGTGAGGCTGGCAGGCCGAGTAGATGTTTCTTGGAGGCCATGTCAGCAAGTGTGCGGAAGTTTGGGTGCCCGAGCCGATGGTGGTAGAGTATGGTCGGGTTGGAGAAACTACAGCACGAGCATGGTGAGGTAGTCGCCGCTGTTTGGGTAGTTGACACCTGTGGGATTGGTACTTGCAGCGTGTAAAGGCCGCTGTTGTTGAGGGTGAAACGAGCCAAGACCTTGTTGGTGAGTGGGTCGAAGATATCACCATAGTTCTCGTTCTCCCAGAAGATGGTGCGTAACCCAGCTTCCAAAATTTCCGTTTGGGCCACGAGATTGTGGCGGAGTGAAGGCACGCACATTCTAGTAACAGTGCCGGAAGGGAAGGCAGGGCACGCGACTGTGGATGAACCCTTGGCATGAGTGGTGAAGCTTGAGCCAGCTCCTAGGAGAGAGATGGGTGTTGCGTAGGGTTTGGAGGAGAGTGTCTCTTTGAGTACAGTGTGTGTGGTGTCGCTGTCGAGTGTGAACTCTATGTATTGTGGTGCTTGTGATGAGCCGAGGTACTGGGAGGAAGCTTCATTAATCATGGCAGTGCCAGGAAACAACAGGTTGATATGCACATCAGCAGGAGCACTATCACTAGCACTAGCCGAAGCAGGGTCCGGGACCTCAACTAGGTTGGCCTTACGAAGGCGCATCCAGTTTGGCGGCTTCTTGTCCACTCCGTGAATGGCATACCATTCGTCGTCTTTCTTCGTGAAGCACGTAGCAAGGAGGTGGTTAGTGCCACCACACACTTGTCCCTTGCGGTTGCCATACTTGACGATAGGGATGGGCATTTGGCCCGGACGGGTCGGGTTACCCGACCCGACCCGCCTAAAATGGCGGGTCGGGTCAGGAATGCTGAGAATGTCGACCCGTCCGGGTCGGGTCGGGTTTACCCTGGGCGGGTCGGGTCGACCCGTGACCCTTCAATGTGATTTATAGACGGGTATCAGCGACCCGCCGGGTCGGGTTGACCCGTCCCGTCCGGGTTGCATACCCAGTCAAATGACAGGGTTACCCGACCCGTTCTCTGCTTAGGGTACAATTTGAAGAGGGGGAGAACATCAGTTGGTTTTGATGTTTTGTTTCCCTCGACATTCAGATCCAGTCTCTAATCAAGTTAGTAAATCTCCACTGCACCTACCAAAACTCTTACAGTCTTCACTTCAGTGTTAGCACAATTTTAATATTTATATTCATTATAGGCATAGGCGCTCCTGCCATTACACAGTGTCACACGACCAGGGGCGCAGCAGCGCACTCGCGGCCACGCATTGGCGGGATCGTGTCCCCGCAATAGCGCGATCTCGGCCCCGCATTTGCGCATCGCGATCGCCACACCACATTAGGGCAGCGCGATCGCGGCCACGCAATGGCGGGATCGCATCCCCGCAATAGCGCGATAGCGGCCTTGCAGTAGCGCGAATGCCACCAGCCAGAATCGCGGTCCCCACCTCCAGCATCGCGAACGCCACCTGGAGCAGCGCCAAGGCGCCACCATACCTTGCTGCTATGTAGCATATTTTGATCCGACCCGACCCGACCCGTGGTGTAACCGACCCGGTTACGGGTCACAAATACCCGTTCCAACGGGGCGGGTCGGGTCACCAAAACAGAGTCAAACCCGACCCGCTAACCCGACCCGACCCGGCCCGTTAAGCTAACGGGTCGCCCTAAACGGGACGGGTCGGGCCGGGTCGGGCCAGATGCCCATGCCTACTTGACGACATAGGTGCACGGAGGGAAGCGGTTGCGCTGGAAGGACGCCGAGGCGAGGGCCGATGCGACACTTGCTTGCGGCACGGGAGCACGGATGGCGTAAGCCTTGGCTTGAGCCGTGGAATCTTTCTCAGCAGAGAGGAGTGCGGATGAGACCTTAGCAAATGTGAGGTCTTCCGCTGAGAGCGTGAGGAGCATCTTCCTCGTTACGTCATATGCCGAGGTGAGACCAACAAGAAGGGCAGCTGCAGGGGCTTATTCGGGGAAGACTATGCCCAGCTCTTTCAGTTCGCTATGAATAGTCTGCACCTTGGCGATGTTGTCAGCCATTCCCGAGCAATCCTCAAGGCGGACCTGGAACATGCTGGGGATGAGGATGGCAACTCCGACTGCCGTTTTGTTCATGAACCGATCCTGGAGGTACTTCCAGATGGCGTTGGAGGTAGGGTAGTTGTGGAACGTGTTGACTAGTTCGGAAGGGGTGGAGGCAATGAAGACGCTGATGATAGTCGCATCTGCCTTCTCCCATTTCCGGTACTTCTCAACACCTTCCTTGTGCGCCCTCATGTCAGTATCACTAGCGGATTCGGTCGGCTCAAGGGGGGAAGGGGGCTGTTTTCCCTTGCCACGGTTGAGGAGAACGTCTTTGAGGTCCAATCCCTGCACGTCACAACTCAGGAGATGCTTGTCAACCCCGTAGCTCCATGCCTTGAAGTTGGAGCTAGAGCCATCGGCTTCAAGGTGGAGCGGGGTGATGGGGTTGGCCATGGTGGACGAGGAGAATGCCATGATGAAGGCCCCTTAATGTCTTGCGCGGAGCGCCGCTCTTAAGTCACCGAAGTGACTATCGATGACTTAAGAGCGGCGCGCAGCGCGGCGATTCCGAAATTCGACGGGTTCGAATAGGAGAAATCGTCAATGTCGGCCGCATCGGAATGCCTTGTAGAGAGTTTTTTCAGGCCGTCAAAATTAGGTTGAATCAACTGATTTCCGTAGTATTAACTCTAATCCCACACACCCCCCCACACACCACCCTCAGCTTCGCAGCTACGCTGCTGCTCGACTTCACGGCTACACAGCTGCTCGGCTGCGCTGCTGCACCTGTTCAGCTGCGGGAAGGTGGGGGGAATGGGGGTAGGAGTGCAGATGCAGAGCGACGGGCGGCAGCCTGAAGGTGAAGCTGCAGGGCGACGGGCGGTGGCACGACGAGAAGCTGCGGGGCGACGGGCGACGGGCGACGGCCCGACGAGAAGCTGCGGGGCAACGAGCGGCGGCCCGACGAGAAGCTGCGGGGCGACGGGCGGCGGCCCGACGAGAATCTGCGGGGCGACGGGCGGCGGCCCGACGAGAATCTGCGGGGCGACGGGCGGCGGCCCGACGAAAAGCTGCGTGGCGACATGCGGTGGCCCGAGAAGAAGCTGTAGGGCGACGGGCGGCGACCCGACGAGAAGAAGAAATGGCGCGATGATGTTGACGAAAGAACGAGCGATAGGTTATAGCACCGACGATGCGCTTACCAGTGAACTAATAAATGTCGTCGAAAGTGACGGGAAAGTGGTGCGGGAGAATTTCCGCCCACGAATGTCGCGAATCACCGGCGACGAGATTGAAGGTGGTTCCGCCGAGGTTTGCGGGATGAACATCCGCAGAGATAAGAGGATCACGATCCGCGTGTGCGGTTGACGGGCTCTAATACCATGTGAAAACTTAGGCTTAGAATGAATTAGTAATCAGCTTGAAGCTCTTTAAGTACATCCAAGAAGGGGAGGGAATGGATGGGGAAGGAAATCGAGGGCAATCTCTAGGGATTGGGGGTAATCCCAAGGCAATTTCCAATTGGTGGGTTGGAGATTGCTTGGAGATTACATTTGGGTTTGGTTGGGATATAGGTGTACACCCAACCAAACACAATGTGCAAACTACAAGAGAAAACACAAAGTACAAAATGTGAGATTGAAGGCTAACACTAACAGTGTGGTAAGAGGGAGAGGAGAGGATTAAGAAGAGGGGAGCTGGGCTGAGTCATTTATGGGGCTGATTGACAGAATCTCCCTTGTTTTGCTGTTTAAACCCCGCGGGCCAAATTGTTCAAAGTTAGGAAGGTAGGTTGGGGCGAGAGATGCGAGTGGCCAAGATTTTGGGTGCAGAGTCAAACTCAACCAAAGTTAGGACGTTCAACCAAAGTTAGGAAGTTTAACCAAAGTTAGGAAGTTCAACCAAAGTTAGGAAGTTCAACCAAAGTTGAACCCAACCAAACTCAACCAATTTGGCGGTTCTAGACCCGACCAAAGGTTATAAAACCTTGACAGTTGACTTACCATCATAGAACACGTCCGTTGCTGTTTCCCCTTCCAGGTGGCCGCCCTTTACTAGCACCGACCTGCAGAATCACATACAAGAAACAAGCAAGAGAGGCACAGAAGAGGCCGAGGCCGAGGCAGAGGCAAATACACATTCACAAGCACGAGCAAAGAGGGATATTACAAGCACACACATTTACATGCAAAAGGGGGAGAAAAGAAAGGATTCACAGAGATGGTCAGTCACAGGGCCGACGTACGAACACACACAGCTATCAACCGGCAAGTCAGAGGCTCTGCAAAGCAAGTTCTGGCAGCCTTTTCCGCGGCAGAAGTGAGACGGGCAGAATGGCGTGATGCTTGCGAATCACCAAAGAGACATCTCCCCCAGACCTAGAATCGCCTCTCACCAAAGAGATGGTTTTTTAGCTAGTGCACATTCAGAACATGTTCACCCACTCAAACTCCCTCTCACCTGGCACCAGGAGCGTGGCACCAAGAGCATGAGTCTGCTCTGGCGCTCTCCTCAGGCAGGCAGGCCCTCTGTCAATTGTTTGAGTGAATGGTCTTTTGAATCTCCCTCTTACCTGGCACCAAGAGCGTGAATCTTCTTGGCTGCTGCCCTCATGTCCTCGGTTGTTCGGATGGACCCTGGCGGAAGCAGCAGCAGGGCCTCAGCCTCTCGGAGGTTGGGCGTGACAACTGTGGCCAGTGGGATGAGGCGAGAGCTGCGGTTTTGGGGAGGGAAAGAGATGAGAAGTATGAGTCAAGGTCAGAATGGGCACGAGAATATTGGGATAGCTGCAACAGCCACAGCAACAGCTGCAGCAGCTGCTGCTGCAGCAATGCTTACATGTCCTTTCAGTTGATCAGTATGCATGCATGTGTTTGACTCTAAACGTGGTGAAGTGGAATAAACAACATATATAAGAGACTCAAAACGTGGAGTGAAGGGTGAATTGGGGCCTTAGTAACGCAGAAAATTTCACATTGTCAACTCGCCAATATAATATTTTTCCACTACAACCCAAGGCCCAGTCAATTTGCACCAGACAGAACTCCCTCCACCCCTCATCACCACTTCGCACCGCATTAACTTCAGGGCTTGGTTGTCTGCTAGAGAGTCCCCACTGGATGCCACAAGAACTGGGTCTACGACCAGAGGGACTGGTGGGACGAACGGAAAAAGGTGGAGGGGGGAGAGAGGGAAAGAGGGGCAGGGAAAGTGGGGGGGTGGGAGGGGCGAGGTGAAGAGGGGCGAGAGGAAGAGTGTGGAAGATGGGAGTGAGGGAGAGGTGGGAAAGAGGGGAGAGCAGAAGAGGGGAATGGGGAGTGGGAAGGGAACAGGGCATGAAAAACCAGAGGGACAGGACTCAGCCAGGAAGAGCACCATAAAAAATGCCACGACGAGCACGAAGTCTACCACCAAAGGGACTGATGGCACAGGACGAATGCAGGGCGTGGAGAGACGGACACAGACGAGAGGGCAGAGGAGGGGACAGGGGGTGTTAAAAGGGAAAAGGGTCTTTAAATCTTTGCGGTTCAACCCAATAAAACACAAAATCGTACCCTTCTCAAACAAAAAAATCAGACCCTCGCCCACATCACCACACAGTTCCTAAATATCCCAACACCTCCTCCACCCCACCCTCATCTCCCACATTGCTTCCAGTTTCCGGATCTTACCATTCAACAGGCTAGACTAGATATTCCTACTTGACCAGCAGCACCTAAACCCCAGGACGCCCACCTACCACGTCCTAGATAGACATAGATATTTTGTGTTCCTTTTCCCCCGTTTGCCCCCCGTGTTCCCAAAATGCACCCACCCCCGCCCACCCCCGCCCCAACACCCCCCCTCCTCTCCCCCTCCGCCCTTTCCTTCTCCCACTATCACATCGCTAACAGCAGCAGCCTCCATTATAACAGCGTCTCAACAGCTGATAGCCGTTGGTCTCACCTCCTTTTGCTTCTGCTTCCATAAAGTCACACACAGCAGTCACCACCTCTGCATTTGGCAGCATGCCCGTCTTGACCTGTCGAGTAGAGGAGCGGAGGAATGGAGGCGAGATTGTGGGAGGGTTTTGGTGTGGCTGGCGGTGGGGACGTGTGGGAAGAGGTAAGGGGTTTGGTGGCAGACACACACAAAAGCTTCCATGCTGGCATGCGTTTGGCAGCAAGCGGGAAGCGTAGGGGAAGGGGGGTGGGCAGGGGAGAGGGGAGGGGGAAGGGGGGAGCGAGAAGAGAAGGCGGAACGGAAAGGTATGAATACTGAGGTAGACAGCCCTATACTGAGGTATGGTATGGATACTGAGGGTTGGCAGCCCAGGGGGGTTTGACAAACCTACGGTGTGCTGCCGGAGATTGCGCAATGGGCACGATCATAGACTCGCCATTCCCCTACCCCCTCTTCCCCCCCTCCCCCCTCTTATCCCCCCCTCCCCCCCTCCTCCCCCCTCCCATCCCCCCCTCTCCCCCCCTCCTCCCCCCTCCTAACACCCCCCACTCCCCGCCCCCAGTTCCTCTCTCTTCCCCTCCTTACAGCAGCAACAGGGAGGTCGGTAAGCACGCTCGTTCATTGCGCCACCACGGCATCCGCGCATTTCCTCTTCCCCCCGCCCCCCCACAACCCCCCCTTCCCCCCACCTTACAGCGGCGCCAGGGAGGTCGCTAAGCACGCTCCTCAATTGCGCCACCACCGCATCCGCCCAACTCCTCTTCCCCCTCCCCCCCTTCCCCCCCCTTACAGCGGCGACAGGCAGGTCGCTCAGCACGCTCCTTAATTGCGCCACCACCGCATCCGCGCCAACGGCGTGCGCGGACTGCACGCCACGTGTGTTCTGCGCCGTTACTGCCGTGATCGCCGTCGCGCACCACGCGCCGTGCGCCGCGCTCGATTTGATATCCGCCTGGACCCCCGCCCCGCCGCCCGAATCCGATCCTGCTATCGTCAACACCACGGGGACTGGCGCGGACGCGGAGCCCGGGGCGGGGCCGGCGGCGGGCGTGTCGGGAGCGGCGCAGCGCGCGCGCGTGGGGCGGGGGTACCTGCGGAACGCCGCGCGAGTGTTGACTGCTCTGGAAGTCTCAGGAACTGCGGAAAGGAACCGGTGAGACCAATGCGCCGCTAATGGTGAGTCGGCGAAATGTTCTTGACGCCCGCAACGAGACGCAACGAGCTCGTCATTCTGCGATTTGTACGAAGAAACGGTTGAGAAACGGAGAAGCGGCGCGAGAGCCGCTCGTCGAGTCGCAAGAAGTAGCGGCGTGGGTGAAATTAGGCTAGGCATGGTGCGTTGATCGAGGGTGTAGGGTTTGCGAGTGTGAGTCTCACGAATGGAGGGATCGATGTTGGGTTGGGACGAAAGGGGAATCCGTAGCCTCTATGGAAAAGAGTTCGAACATGAATGAACCTAGGTGTTACAGGGGGTTTTACTGTTCATCCAGAACAGTACTTCCCAACCTTATCATCATCCTATCTTTCCAGATTTCCTAGTGCCACGTGGCACTCTACTCTTCTTGCCTTACAATTCTAGTCCCACGAATTACTTTCTGACATTCGACTTTGCATGCTATATCAACCTTGCTTGTATTCCCTCATAGCAACCAATTCTCATTCATCAATTACTTAGTTACTTCTTCGCCTATCTCGCCAACACATCTTTCGCCAAAGTCTTCCGCCGCGCTTTATCCTCAATTTAGTCAACCCTGCTATTCCTCAGCGGATTCAGGCCAAGGGGCCCAACATAGGTATGGAACTTAGTGCTTTATCTATATACGATTTTGTACTTGAGGTTCTTTTTCATCCATGATTCCTGATTTCTTGAATTCAACTTCTTTGAAAGACATGGGTTCACAAACTCTGAACTTGAAAGGTAGCCCTTGGATGATTTTGGGGACAGATGTCCATTCATCAGTAATACGGTACTTGTGCTGCACAGTACCGTTTTTGTGCTGCCCAGTTCGAGATGTGTTTGAATAAGGGAATGTACCCCTTCGAGTACATGGTTAGTCTAGGTCTTTTCGTATTCCCCTGTACTCTTATATAAACTCGATGTATGCATCTATCATCTCAAGCATTTACATTCACTTTGCTATTGTGGTCAAAAAACCCACCAACACCACTTCTCTGCGTGCGAACCTTTCCTGAATAAATCCTAGGCCACGATCAACTTCTGATCGCAATAGATTTCAGTATTTTTGGATTTTTGATGTGTCAGATTATATGATGTCATATATGTGTAGGCTATAGTGGGGTAGCCAATATGGGATACAACCCCATTAGGTTTTCAAATTCGTACCAAACCCTAATCTAGTCAATTCATTCCTGCTACTAGATTCTAACATGGTTTCATAGCACTAGATCCGTAGGACATATTTTTTTTTTCTGGGCCCACCTACCGTTGCGGTTACCGCACCACCCCACGTGTTGTCCTGCGCGCGCCTTCCCCTGCCTTGCCTTGTGACATGGTGCGCTCCGTGCGCCGTCCTACAGCCCTCGCGCTGCCTACTGTTGCCCTAGCTACCTGCAGCCGATGCGGCCCCGCCAGGCCGCTGTCGCGACCCCGCCCTGCCGCTGACGCGGCCCCGCCCTACCCCTGACGCGACCCCGCCCTGCCGCTGTCGCGGCCCCGCCCTGCCGCCGACGCGACCCCGCCAGGTCGCTGTCCCGGCCCCGCCCTGCCGCCGATGCGGCCCCGCCAGGTCGTTGTCGCGGCCTCGCCCCGCCGCTGATGCGGCTCTGCCCTGCCGCTGTCGCGGACCCGCCCTGCCGCCGACGCGACCCCTCCCTACCGCTGTCGTGGCCCCGCCCTGGTTGTTGACGACTACTCGCGTTACATCACGGTCTTCCCCTTGCGCACCAAAGGTGAGGTCCCTGATGTTTTGATCCCTTGGATCCGCGCTGTCCGTCTCCAGCTCCGCGAGCGGTTCGAGACGGAATTTTTTGTCCTGCGTCTGCACTCTGATAGAGGTGGGGAGTTTTCCTCCTACCTTCTGCAGAGCTTTTGTTGTGGGGAGGGCATTCGCCAGACGTTCACGCTTCCGGCCTTTCCGCAACAGAATGGGGTTGCTGAGCGCTGCATTGGCTTGGTTATGGAGGTCGCTCGTACCTCTATGGTCCATGCGGCTGCCCCCCATTTTCTGTGGCCGTTTGCGGTCCGCTATGCTGCGCATCAGCTCAACCTATGGCCCCGTGTCTCCTTGCCAGAGACCTTGCCCACACTGCGGTGGACGGGGGAGGTTGGCGATGCGTCGGTGTTCCGGGTCTGGGGTTCTTGTGCCTTTGTCCGCGATACCACCGCGGACAAGCTCTCCGCCCGCGCTGTTCCCGGTGTCTTCCTTGGCTTTGTCCCTGACGCGCCTGGTTGGCAGTTTTACCACCCCACATCGCGCCGTGTCTTTCCCTCTCAGGACGTCACGTTCGACGAGTCGGTTTCCTTTTACCGTCTCTTCCCCTACCGCACTGCCCCTTTCCCCCCTCCCCCGCCGCTCTTCCTCGCTCTAGGTGCTCCCCAGGTTGACCCCCTCCCCGCTCCCGGTCCTGCTTCTTCAGGTGTGTCTCAGGTAGACCCTCCTCCCTTGACTGCGCCGGTTGAGATCACTGGTGACTCAGGTCCTGCTGAGCTTGGTCCTACACGGGGTGCTGCTTCTGGGGGTGCTGAGCCTGGGGGTGCTGAGCCTGGGGGTGCGGAGCCTAGAGGTGCTGAGCCTGGGCATGAGGAGTCTGGGGGTGCTGAGCCTGGGGGTACTGAGTCTGGGGGTGCTGCACCTGGGGGCGCTGAGGCGTCTGGTGAGCAGTCTCCCTGGAGCGGCCGTCTCCGTAGTCACTTTCTTGGTGCCTCGCCGCTGCACTCTCGTCGTCGTCTCCCTCTCTCCCCACAGCAGCTGCGTGAGTGGTACGTTAGCCGTCAGGGTCGGGCGGCTGGAGCTGGGGGGCCTGCTGCGGGAGGCACTAGTGTTCGAGGCGCTGGAGCCGGCGCTGTCCCTCTTTCCCCACAGCAGCTGCGTGAGTGGTACGTTAGCCGTCAGGGTCGCGTTGCTGGAGCTAAGGGCCCTTCTACGGGAGGAGCCGGAGCTGGTGATTTTGCTACTGGAGTTGTTTCTACTGGAGTTCCTGGAGCAGCTGGTCTCGGAGGTGCTCGTCGTGGAGGTACTGAAGCTGCTAGGACTAGAGGTCGTGCTGGACCTGGAGGTGCTGTTGTCGACTCTGAGGTTGGAGGCCCTGGAGCTGGAGGTGCCGGTTCTGGGGGTGCTACTGCTGGTGGCGCTGGAGCTGGAGGTTCTGGAGCTGATGCGGGTGCTGGCGCTGGAGGTTTTGGAGCTGTTGGAAGTGCTGGCGCTGGTGGCGCCGGAGCAGGAGGTTCTGGAGCTGCTGCGGGTGCTGGCGCTGGAGGTTCTGGAGCTGTTGGAGATGCTGGCGCTGGTGGCGCTGGAGCTGGAGGCTCTGGAGCTGCTGCGGGTCTTGGCACTAGAGGTTCTAGAACTGTTGGAGGTGCTGGCGCTGGTGGCGCCGGAGCTGGGGTTTCCGGAGCTGCCGCGGGTGCTGGCATTGGAGGTTCTGGAGCTGGAGGAGGTGCTGGAGCTACTGGTGCTAGTAGCACTGCACCGCGGCGACTGTTCTTCGCTCCGCCTTCACCTTCGTCTCTGCCACAGCCTGGCTCCGTCCTTCGCCAGGTTCTTAGCCTCCCGTCTTCTACTGGTCTTCCGTTACAGCCTGGCTCACCGCTGCCTGCTCCTTCTCCTTACGCTGAGCCGATAGGTGGTCTTGCTGAGCGTCGTGAGCCTGCGTCTCGTCCTGTTTGGCCTGTTTGCACTGTGCGCACTTGTCGTACTGGTCGTCGTGTTCCTCGTGAGCGCCCGCCGGCTGTCCCCGGCACACACCTCATGGCCCTATGTCCTTCCTCTGCTCCGCAGCGTGTTCCCCTACCGTCCCCTTCTGCGTTTTCTCTGCCTGACGTTCCAGAGCCTGAGTCTGACCACGCTCGTGCTGCTCACCCTACTGTCACGCATTTGCTAGCCATAGTTCTCACTAACCCGTCGTATGAGTCTGCTGCTGCGTCTGCCTAAGTCGCTGAGCTTGTTGACTTTGCTGCTGCCTGTCGTCTAGACTACGCAGCTAGTCTTGTTGCTGAGTCTGAGTCTGTCTATCCTCCGTCCGTCGGGGGTGAGTGTGCTCTTGGCACGGACGTCCTTGAGGACAGGCAGGAGGACCTTGAGTGTCTTGCACCCGCTGCGCCTCATCTCGTATCCATGCTGCTTGCCCCTGAGGGAGACCCGGATGCACCAGACATCGCGACTCCGCGTTCTTACGCTGAGGCGATTGCGGGTCCCTACTCGTCTCAGTGGCAGACAGCCATGGACGCAGAGATGGCATCCTCGAAGTCCACAGGCACCTACGTCGACGAGGTTCCTCCTCCTGGGGCGAACATCGTCGATGTCATGTGGATTTTCAGTGTGAAGCGGCCGCCAGGTTCTCCGCTTGTCTTCAAGGCTCGTTATGTTGCCACTTCTTCCAGGCCTTCTCCCCCACCCCAAAGATGACCACACTTCGAATGCTGCTGCACGTTGCCGCTCAGCGTGACTACGAGCTTCACTCTCTTGACTTCAGCACAACCTTCTTACAAGGCACTCTACACGAGGAGATCTAGTTGCGCCGCCCACCTGGCTTCACTGGGTCGTTCCCTCCTGGTACCAAGTGGAGCCTCCGGCGGCCAATCTACGGTCCCCGCCAGGCGCCGCGTGAGTGGCACGACACACTGAAGACGACACTTGCGGCTCTTGGGTTTGCTTCGTCGATTGCTGACCCGTCGCTATTTCTGCGTACCGACACTTCGCTGCCGCCATTCTACATCCTCGTATACGTCGACGACTTGGTCTTTGCCACTGTTGACACTAAGGCTCTCGCCCTGGTGAAGTTGGAGCTGCAGAAGAGACATACGTGCACAGATATGGGTGAGCTGCGCAGCTACCTTGGCTTGCAGATCACTCGGGACAGAGCACGCCGCACCATCACACTGACTGAATTACACATGGTGCAGCAGGTCCTTCAGCGCTTCGACTTCATCTGGTCCTTGGTACAGGACACTCCTCCGGCTACAGGTCTCTCGCTCTCA